TTGCTTATTCTGTACTCCAGAGAAGAGTTTTATCAGGAAAGATGAATTTCTCCTCCACATGGTGACAGCAGCTCCAACATGCAGGTAAGGGGGTGTCCAAAGGCACTCCCGTGGCATTCAGATAGCACATCTGCAGTATTGCCTACCTGTCAGCTGTTCATCTTAGTGCTGAAACCACCCCTGGATGTAAATATTTGCAGTTGTTCAGTAGAATTATGCCAGCTTCAAGCACCTCAGGTTTTCCTAAACCATGGTTTACTATGCAAAGATTATGGTGCATTTTCCTTTGAATGCCAATTTTATTTACACTCTGTTCTGCGCAAAACCTGTAATCATGCCCAGGGGAAGTCCCAGCATCCAGAGGAGGGCCACAAGGATGATAAGGGGGCTGAAGCACCTCCCATATGAAGACAGGCTGAGAAAGTTGGGGCTGTTCAGCCTGGGGAAGAGAAGACTGCGTGGAGCCCGCATGGTGGCCTTCCAGTATCTGAAGGGGGCCTACAAGGATGCTGGGGAGGGACTCTTCATCAGGGACTGTAGCAATAGGACAAGGGGTGATGGGTTCAAACTGAAACAGGGGAAGTTTAGATTAGATATAAGGAAGAAGTTCTTTACAGTGAGGGTGGTGAGGCACTGGAATAGGTTGCCCAAGGAAATTGTGAATGCTCCAACCCTGGCGGTGTTCAAGGCCAGGTTGGACAGAGCCTTGGGCAACATGGTCTAGCATGTGGTGCCTCTGCTCATGGCAGGTGTGTTGGAACTAGATCATCTTAAGGTCCTTTCCAACCCTAACTATTCTGTGATTCTATGTGTGTTTCTTAACCTAATTGCTTAATGACCTCCAGAGGCTTAGCTGGGGTTTGTGACCTAAGATCCAACAGTGTATGGCAGTATGAATAGGTAAAGCCCATTTCCTAGCATTGCAGATGCCTTTCCCTTCCAAACCTGGGAAGGTCTCAGCCTGGACAGAAGATAGAGGATGGTTTTCACTACAACTCCATAGTAAACACTGGGGTTTGCTTTGTAATTAGTCTCACTTGGAGCCCTGTGATGCACAGTCCAGAGGCAAACTTGGACAGCTTTCTGTAGAGTGGATTAGCTAAAATATCTAAAGTGTTTGTGTCCACATGCCTAGGAGGTTCCGATTTATGTATTTTGTGTTTATAAGAATAATAATGCCATCTCCTGAACAGAACACATCTGAGGAGACTTTCTGTGCTGTTCCCTAAAGTTATCTCCTGCTCCCCCTTCATGTGCCTCAGCAGAAGCCAGCAAACACAGAACAAACTCTTAAGAATTAGCCAAATTAATTATGATCCATTATGAGAAATAACTTCAAATGGTCAAAGTATTGGAATAGACTTTAATGCTATGAAAAGACTCATTGACTCTGTGAGCTCTTCTAAAATTTGTACTAGTGCCCCAACACTCAGCAGAATCATGAGCAATGGCACGAGGAAAGTGGTTTAATGACTGGGCTATGGGAGCATTGCATCTTGTCATCATTTTGGGCTCTTTTCTCCTGTGTCACATTGTCATCCCTTTGCCCTTATGTCCTGTGAAGTGCTTGGTGTGCAGATTGCAGGATTTGCCAAAGGAGTTGTCGTTAGTACATGTAACTGGGGCTTGGTTCTGATTGTTTGACCCATTTAAGTGCTGAGTTATGGAAAACAGACAAGTGAGAACAGATAAAGCACTTATACTACCCTGGATTGTTTGGATGGGGCACAGCAGTTTAGTAGGTGAATTTAGGGAGAAGATCCCACTGTTTCACTGCCCAGCAAGGTATGAGGCTTGCTGAGTCCTGTAGCTTGAATGGAGCTAACAAGAAATCTGGAGAGGGTCTTTGGACAAGGGCCTATAAGGACAGGACAAGGGGGAATGGCTTTAAACTGACCAAAAGAGGGGACATTTAGATCAAACGTTAGGAAGAAGTTGTTCCCTGTGAGGGTGATAAGGCCCTGGCACAGGTTGCCCAGAGAAGCTGTAACTGCCCCATCCCTGGCAGTGTTCAAGACCAGGTTGGACAGGGCTTGGGGTAACCTATTCTAGTGGAAGGTGTCCCTGCCTGTGGCAGGGGGTTGGAACTGGATGAGCTTTAAGGTCCCTTCTAATTCAAACCAGCCTGTGATTCTATGAATATCCTCACGAGTCCTGGTACATCTCATGGAATACACTGCATACTAGGCTGAGTGAAACAGTTGAGTTTTCACCACCAAGCCCAGTTAGGGGGAGGTTTGGGGCTTCTGTGGAAAGAAATATGCAAGTTGCATTTCAGGAGGTGGAAGGCTCAGAGCTTGAAAATGTTTCCAGTGCTACTTTTTTTTTTTTACTAAATCTTGGCCAAAAATGATCATTCCATTTTTTCCTAGAGTGAGGTTATATTTTTTCTTGCTTTGTTGGTATTGCACACTTGAAAAATATTCTGTGGGTGTGTGCATGGAAAATCCTAATATATTGAGGATCCCCTCTGTGTGCAGAAGGTGACTGCATATTAATCCTTTCTGACTTGCTCTGCCTGTTCACATGCACACAAAAGAGATTCTCATCTTTGTCTGAGCTGCAAAAACACCTACTGAAGAAGGGAAGTTATGGCCAACCCAGCATGCAATTGGTTCTTCATGAAGCCATCTCAAGCGATGTGATGATGGTGGTGGTACGTTTCCTCTGGACACTGCTATCAGCAGTGCCACCAGCTGCAGCAGGTTTTAGAACTGGAGCTTGTCCATGAATTTCCCACTTGTGTGCCATCACAGGATCCACATTCTAGAGGGCCATAGGACTTGAGATTGAGTCGTAAAGCCCTTTGCAGAGCTGGTCTCACCCACAGTGATGGGCTAAGTTTCTGCAAACAACTGGGGACAGCCTGGCCATTTGATGTGGGGACTGGGGAGAGTTAGTTATGTGTTTCTGCAAGCCACTGTGATACTTAGGAGGGAGAGGCTTCCCAGCTGCTTCAGCCAGCAGTTGAATCCACTCAAGATGAGTTATGGTGTGGCCATCCAGCATGTTTTGCAACATTGACCCTCATCCTGCTATCCTTCCACAAGCAAAACTTACATCCACTTTACTGGAAGTCTTGCCTGGGAACATGTGAAAGGCCAGCCTGTGTACTTGAAACGACCTTGGCTTGCATCACCTCCAGCATGGAAAGAAAGGGCTCGAAAGCTGTGCTGTCATTTGGGGAAATGCCCCCTTTCAGTACGAGTCAACACAAGCGGAAGGCAGAACCATACACTCCTTTCATTCCACCGGATGCAGGTTGCTTTTGCCAGGTTCATGGAGCAGGAAGAAATGTGTATTTAAGGGTTGTATCGTCTCTTTCTTCTAAATGGAAGAGTGGGGGAAGGGGGTTGTTCCTTGCCTGTCGTGGAGCCAGACACAACACGACCTCTGTTCCTAGTGAGGACAACATAACATGTCTGAACAGGCCTCTCTGATTGCTTAGAGCCTGTTGGTGTGCTGGCTTAGATTTAGGAAGAGCTATGTAACTACAGCTGTGACTTTTCTTCTCCTTCAAAAGTCCGTGGTGATATTTTGCTTTGCTGTCCTAAGTGGAAGATGCAGCTTTTGCATGATTCCAGCTATAGGCTATTGAACACATCCCCTTAAAAGCCAGTTCAGAATGGTTCATCTGAACCCTACCCCTTGACCAGGGGGTCAAGGACCCACCCAGTATTCTGTGACATTCACAGAGAAGGGTATTTCAAGGCCTGATGTGAGGCAAGAAAAGGAGCAGGGGTAATTCTGGGTAAGGAAGTGAAGTATTTGGCCTAAATCTCCTTAGCGATGAATATTATGCTTGAAATCACAAGTGTGTGATATATTATAGAACCACATAATTGAATTAATTTTTTCAGTGGGTATCTGGTGACTTCCCCCATTCCAACACCACCAGAATAACCTCTTCAGAGTTCCTGATTTATTTTATCCAAGGAAATGGTGACTCTACAGGTGAGGATGTTTCTGAAACAGAATCAGAATGGACGTTAATGTCTTAATATTTCATAGAATCACAGGCTGGTTTGAATTAGAAGGGACCTTAAAGCTCATCCAGTACCAACCCCCTGCCACAGGCAGGGACACCTTCCACTAGAGCAGGGTGCTCCAAGTCCCATCCAACCTGGCCCCGAACCCTGCCAGGGATGGAATAAT